CTTCAAGTAAACAGGATCTCGATCTGCTCGCGCGGTGTCTGTGGCGTCATTCGTCTCGTGCGCTCTGCACTATCGAGTAGCTCATGCATGGGTTCTTGAAGCATGCAGACGGAAGCGACAGCGGCCATGAAAACGTGCAGGGAACCGTCGTCTTAACGTTCTTCTCCAGGAAGCTAAACACGCGGCTCCACCACATCCGGTTTAGGTAGTTGTGAGGAGATCCTCTCAAGGCCTGCAAAATCAGGAGAGCAGCCATTTACAATCCACAAATTTTGCAACCTTAAAGGAGACATATTATGCCCCTTTTTACAAGTGTCTGGTGTCCCCAGAATGTGTCTGTGAAGTTTCAGCTCAAAACACCCCACAGATCATTAATTATATCATTTTGAAAATGCCTGTTTTGAGTGGAAGCAGAAACACGCTGTTTTTCGGGCCTGTGTCTTTAAATGCAAATGAGCTGCTGCTCCCCGCCCCCTTTTCCAGAATAGAGCTGCGCCTTTACAGCTCGTACCTGCTAAAAAAACATCTGTTTTGGTTCTGATTATCATGTTTATCGTGCTGAAATCATGCGTTTTAAACCACATGAGTTTACACTTCTGATATAGGGTTTTCTGAGCGCACACATCCGAAGCACACGCACAGAAAGCGGCTGTCGCAGCATGCGAGCACTAAACTAAGTTCTCATTCACACACATGAGTTACAAAAACAGTGGGTTATGTCTGTGAAGGTAAACAGCTGGGAAATAAATCTCATGTTCATTTTAGATCTGTGTGGCGGCAGCAATATACAGTAAATAAATCAATAAATGCACTGCTCTGTCGTCTCCTCTGAGGCTGGGACTCTAAACAGTGTTCTGTGCTCATCTCTGCAGCCAAACACTGAACAGTTAGCATGCTTCGCTCAAACTATCTTCATGGTTTTCATGATATGTCACTTTTAACATATTAAGCAATATGCATGAGGTTGTTTGGTTGAGTACAGATTGATTGTTACTTGTCTGTATGCTTACATTATCTTTGCCTGTATATTGATATTATGGATTAGAGATAGGCCTACATTGTTGGTTATTTTGTCTGACAGTTGGATTGTGTGTGTTTTTAAGTGAACTGGCATTGATCTGTTGGTTCTAGATATAGTATAATTTTTTAGTGGATGGTGTTGTGTATTTTGAAGCATGTATTTATTATGTATTGATTCATTGTTTTATATTTTTAGGGTGACAAGGGACGCAAAATAGATGGATGCAAAATAGCCTTCTGGCTAATTCTGGCACATTGTACATTTATGTATTATTGATGTGCATTGTCCCTGTCAAATAAAACAGAAAATAAATAGAACTACTGCGAATCTGGTGCCTGTGAATCAATTAAAGGCAGCTGCACAGAACCGAAAAATTATATATTTTTTTCTCAACTACCCTCTAAATGTGTTTGCATTTCGCAGATGCTTTTATTCGCAGAAGTTTACACTGTGTTGATGTTGTGCAGTTTTTGGTGCACAGTTTGGCTGGGACTCAAACCCATGATCTTGGCGTTGTGAGCGCCACACTCTTACTATTTGAGCTCCAGGAATAAACGTTTTTCCACACTTCTGAATAAAAAGCTCAATTGTTTTAACCCTTAATTTTTTGTGTTACTATTTTAACTTTTTGTTACTATTAATGTTAAATATTTACTGTTTTTTAAGCCCATTTCCACCACAGAAAAAAAGAACGACTTTTTAAAGGTCACATATTTTACACCTTTCTGGAGTTTTATTTTAAGTCTTGATGTCCTTAAGAATATATATTTGCGGTATAAGTACCAAAAACCATCTCAATATATTTTTACAGCTCCTCTCTCAGGAGCTCTGCTGAGAACAGGTCGATTTTGGTCTAATTAATATTCATGAGCCTCTCTTCTGACTGGCCTGTTGTGTTCTGAGTGACGCATGGCCAGGCCAACCACAGGTAACTAGGGTCAGCGACGTCACAGCGCCATTCAAACCAGCGCAGATTCGGCTACATGAGGAGCTTAAAATATCATCTTGTTGTGATGTTGGGTGCCAGAATCAACGTAATACAGCCTCAAATTAGAAATCTGATCGCATATCTGCTGCCACTGCCAGACAAAAAACCGACGACAGCTGTGGTTAAACGC